CCCATGCAAAAACCCTTACTCACCAAGCAATTTCTTCTCTTCCTCTAATTTCCCCCTACCTCTGGAAATTATTCATCTGCATTCTATCTTTGGCTATGTCTTCTCTGAATATTTCTTATAAATAGAATCACATACTATAGAACCTTTTTATTATTTCCTTTAAATAATGATTACTGAGTATTTTTCATGTACTTATTGGCCATTTATATATTTTCTTTGGAAAATGCAAGCCCTTCAATTTTTTTAATTGTGTTTCTTGGAAGAGTCTTTCAGATCTTGTCCTATGGGAAACCAGTCTGCCTTATCTGTACAATATTGCTATTACGAGATTCCCTGGTTGTATGTTCCTAAATCCCTTTGAAAATACAATAGAGGCTAGATTGTCAATATACGTATGTGTGTATGTACATGTGTTCTTATGTATGCATGCATTTTAATTTCAAATGATGCTGATATTTTGAGTAGATTTTTTTCATTTTGTCACCCAGTATGGATGAGATGGGTAACCATCACCCACCCACTCTCCATGGATGAACTTCTCTGCTAGTTGCTGACAACATCAAACAGAGTTGTCATTCAAGAATGACAGCTCTGCAGGGCTGTGCTATCCCAGTGTGCCGCTGTCCTGGCTGTCACTCATTGGGGAAGCACCTGCTCTTCTCCATGACTGTAACGGGGCATGGGCATGCATCAATACCTTACCCCACCCCCAGTATCAAATTGAGATGTCTAAGCCCTGCAAGGAGGCTGCAAAATCAAGACACCAATCCCTACAAAGAGAAACTTCTGAGAAAGCATATGCGTGCTTTAAAAGTGCACGTTTCAGTACTTACTGTGCATTAGCATCACCTGGGGATCTTGCTAATATATATATTCTGATACAGTAGGCCCCGGGTAGAACCTGACATTCTGCATTACTAACAAGCTTCCAGGTGATATTGAAGTTTCTTGTACGTGCACCACCCGTTGAGTAACAAGGCTCTTGAGCATATCTGTTTATAGAAATTATTCTTTTAAGATTCCCTTCGAAGTTCTGAAACCCAGGGACAGTGATAAGAAATAGGGTATAAATCAATTGGATCAAACATTCCTTATATTCCTGGGTAACAATAAGAAGTCTTCATTTTCGCAATACACTAGGAAAACTTTTAATTGTGTTCTTTTACACATTTAAAATATCTGAATGATCTTATATCACATACAATCTCACTGAGAGTGTAATGTGACTTTAAAGAGCTACTTGGTGTTAACAGTTTTTTAATGATCTCTTTCCTTCATAGCCTTGTTTTATTAATGTAGTTTATTTTCCAGAAGTTGCATGGTTTCAGCAAGCCAAAACTACTGTTGTGGACAGATGGTATGAAGAACACAACCACAAAACCTGCCACTCAGAGTGTGACAGATGACTGTAGCAGCATAGAACTGTCCCTTTGTTCATTTTGCTAATGAGTGTCCTCATTGCTGTGGGAGCCTGAATAGTTAATTACTTGCAGTTCCTACAGCTGACAGATGGTGGGGACAGAGCTAAAGACTAACCTGTAAAGAAGAGAAGTTGTAGATTGTTAGGTGGGGAAAAAAAATCTTGTTTTCCTTGTGTGTTCTTTCATGTAGTGCAATACCTTCATTTGTCTTTAACCACTGTAAATTTACTACCTGTAAATTTTCAGTTTCATCTAATTTTAAATTTTTGTTTGTTGTTGTTAGCTGCCAACTCCTAATGACCATGTATCCAGTGAAACAAAACTCTACTACCAAATCCTGCATCATCCTCAAAAGTGTTGCCCTTTTTTAGCCCATTTGTGCAGCCACTGTGTCAATCCGTTTTGTTGAGAGTCTTCCTGTCATTACCCCCAGCTAACCTTCTACCCGAGCTTGATGCCCTCCTTTAGGGATTGCCATTTTTACTTTCAAGGAGCATTCTGGTTGTATTTGTTCCAAGATAAAACTGCTGGCATTGCACTGTACACTCAATAGTCTTTGCCAATTCCATAATTAAAGTTCATCAATGCTTTTTATTTTTTTTATGATTTCTGTTGTTTTTCATTATTCATTGTTCAACTTTCATATGCGTGTGAGGTGATTACAAATATCATGGCTTAGGTAAAACATGTCTTAGTCCTCAAAGTGACATCTTTGCTCCTGAATAGAGAAAAGATCATTTGTTTTCTTGACTCTTGGTTTTATGAATATTGGTTGCAGACTCAAACAAAATTAAATCCTTGGCAACTACAATTCTTTTCTTCATTCTTTCATCATGATTGTGCTTATTGGTCTAGTTGTGAGAATCTTTCTTTTCTTTATTTCGAAACATCATACTGAAGGCTATAATCTTTGCTATCTCGATCAGTAAATGTTTCAGGTTTCCTTCATTTTCAGCAAGCATGTTTGTGTCATCTGCATAATGCAGCTTGATGATGAGTCTTCCTCCAATCCTGATGCTACATTCTTCTTCATGTAGTACAACTTATCAGATCTTTTGGTCATTATAAAAATTGAGCAAGTACGATGGGACGATACAATCCTGAGATATAAATTTCCTGATTTTAAGTCATGCTGTATCCCTTTGTTCTGTTCAAATGATTACTTCATGGTCCCTGTACAGATTCTGCATAAACATGATTAGGTCTTTAGAATTCTCACTCTTGAAAATGTTTTCAATAATATAGACTACACAGTTGGATGTCTTTGCTTTTCACCATGATATATCTGATGTCTACAGTAATATCTCCTGTTTTGTGTCTTCTTCTGAATTCAGCTTGAATTTCTGACAGTTGCCTGCCTGTATATTACTTCAACTAATCTAAAATTACCTTTAGCAAAACATTACTTGCATATCGTTTTCATTATATTGTTGAATAATTTCTGGATTCTTTTGTATCACCTTTTTTTGAAATAGGCACAAACATGGATGCTAGTCGTCTTCCAAATTTCTTGACAGTGAGAATGTCCAGTGTTGTATCCATTTATTGAACACCTCAAAAGGTATTCTGTGGATTCCTAGAGACTTGTTCTTCCCTAATGCCTTCAGTGTAGCTTTGACTTTTTCCTAGTCTGTCTTAGTCTGGAAGCTCTGTTGAAACCTGTCTATTGTGATATTGTCCTGTCCTCTGCTATTAATTGAAATACTGGTGGAATCACTTCCAATGTCACAGCAACATGTAAGCCCCAATGACAGACAAGTGGTGGAATTCATGTTTTGTTTGTAATAGTCTACTATCAATGTGCTTGTTCTGTCACTATTAGAAGAAATATCCTGAAGTTTAATAAGGCTGCTGCTGATTTCTAGAAATTCTTTTTAGACTAGAAATACTTTTGTTGATGGTCTCAATTTGAATAACATTTAGGCAATAAATTCATGACTGGTGACTGTCTTTTATTTGGACAATAGTTTTACTTCTTAATTACTAAAAAGATATGCTAGTTCTCATTAGCTAAAAATTTTTTGGGTTTGAAAAATTTTAATGAAGTGTTGCATCAGACTCAAGAGGATTTACAGTTGGACTGATTGCAATATTTAACAAAATTATATAATATTTAACCCTGGCTAATTATCTTCATTAGTAGTTATTCTTTGAGTTTTAAGATTTTTTTAGTGTACTACGAAATATTTTAGCTACTTATTTTTCTTTCAAACCATTATGATCACAAAACTTTTTCATAATATCTTTCAGAGACTTATAGTTCAAATACAATTCTAATAGGAAATTAGTATGGAGAGAAACATGATTTTATTTTTGTAGGCATAGATTTTATTCTTATTTATGTGCCATCATGAAATTACTACCCAAAAAAAAAAAAGGTTTAAAGATTAAAGTTTAAAATGTATCTCTAGTGCATGTAACAGTTTTGAAACAATGTGTATATAGCCTTTAACCTTTTTAGGATAATCATATACTTTTAAATATACTTTGTAATAATTTGAGACTGCATAATCCCCTTAGTATATTGCCACAGTGAAGCATAAAGTTCTGCACCCAGTTTCTACTATGCATTATATCTTATTTTTTTTTAAAAAAACCAACAACTACAACAACTGTGTGGCACTAAAATCTAGACAGCCATAAGAGAGTATATTCAGATGTTTTCAATAGCTTTGAAACAGACAAGAGGGAGGAAAACAGAGTCGCTGTCCCAATAAGCTTCAATTGCGTAAGAAAAAGGCTCTGCCATAATGGACGTGGCAAGATTTAAACAAAAGACGCACATAATAAGAATGTAAATGAGTTTGCTTTACTAAAACTATAACTTTAAAGTCTTTTGTTGTAAGTTATCCTGAAACCTTCTTACAAGGTAATCACTGTTTGCATAGAGATTTAAACCGAAGTCTTCAATAGCATTAAACGCCTGCACAGTCCAAGTGTGACAGGCATGCAAAGCCACGTTAATGTTCAGAATATGAATTGCCTCTGGGTGGCTCCTCCACCCAGCAGAAAACCAACTGTGTGGATATCCGTGTGCCTGATGGACTCCATGCGGCTCCCAGCCTGAAAACGTCACCGCTTTGACATGTGATGTGCTCCTCCTGACACTGGCAGCACTGACACTGGGAAATGCCACAAAGGCAACAAGCCCCCTCCTTAGCCATGCACTTTGCCACCCCCTGGCGCTGCCCGTCCATGGTCTCCCCAGTCTGCCTAGTTACGGAGGGCAGTGCTTCAGACATACACAGAGGGAAGTGTGGGTGGAGGGGCCCCAGCTGCCTTCCCGGACACAGCTTCCATAATGAATTGACCTGAATGATGAGGGCACACAAACAGTATGATATGCATTATTCCTGTCAATAAAATGTCCCCATGTGTTGTGGTCTTTGTACATAATGTACTGCAGCCTTTCTTCCAGAAAGCTCTATTTAGTCGCTTTCCTTTCTATTATTCATATTATAAGTGTGTAATAGTATTCAGAAAATTATATGATAGCTCTTCTGTATCTGTATTGTCCTTGCACTGCATATTCAAATCTGTGGCTCCCTGCTTAGATTTATGGAATTCTTCATCTTTCAGGAGTCCCTTGCCAAAGTGCTCAGCTTTCCAAAAGTATCCATAGAAAAGGAAAATTTGGAATGGAAAGCGGAAAATGAGAGACTGACTGAAATAATTTCAGAACTTGAAGATGAGATACAATTCAGAGTGAAAGAAAATACAGTATTAGGTAATCTTTTGAAGTCAGTTTTGAAAGACTAAAATTCCTGATGTTGGGTTTATTGTGTTTTGTTGGGTTTTTTTGCATTGATGAATGACTCTTTTAAATTGAAATATCAGCACAATTGGTGAAATCATTCTGCGTCCGGCTTTCCCAATTGTTGCCATGCACTTGATTATTCACATGCCTATTTACATTTAAAAGAGCAGTTGGATAGCCAACTTTTCGTTTTACTGAAGATAGGACTCCTTGCTTGCTTGTAGTTATACTTCTGAGCTGTCCTACTTTAACTCACTGTTGTTTTCTCCCCAATGTTCTAATTAGTGCTGTTCTTCACTTACAAATGTTACTAACAGAAACTCCTGCTGATTTCTGCTTCATATGCTTAACTAATTATTTAAAATTGATAAATTTACAGATGCAAGTATACATAACATGTAAATACTTTGTGGAGAAACAGAACCAGCACTTCTAGGGGGGAAGTGCTAGTACTTACTAAATTATTTTGAATTTTTATATTAATGTTAGTTTAAATTTCTATATTATTTTTAGGTACATATTTTCATTTGTATATTATATTCCCACTTTTAATAAAAAATTTATTTAGAATGCATTTCCATGATCAAAGTTACATTTATTTATTGCACTCTTTCATATATTATTCTTTCAGTTATGCAAATTATCATAATCTTTGTTGTGAAAAGCAATGAAGAAGGAATAAAAAATCTTTTTTTATTTGGAATAATAGATATTTTAACAAAGCATTGATGAAATCAGATCTATTTCAATGTCCCTGGAATATCAGATTCCATCATGCCAGTGTAATTTTGTTTCTCTTCAGATGTGGTATCATGCTTCCCCACCCACCCCCAGGTTTTCGTAGTTTTCCTGAGTCATAAAGTGGCACCTGCTAAAGCACTTTGTATTGGCTGTGACTAACAGCAAAAATGTCCATCGCTAGTATTGATGAAAAGCTTTCGGCCCTCAGCCACACTTGAATCTTGAACTTAGTTCTTAATCCCTATCTGACCAGCCGTCTGAACAGCAGGAAGAAGGCTATGAATGTCAAGGGCAGTTGTGAAGGTCACAGTCCTGCTAGGACTTTGGTCCACCATGCCTGCCAGCGGTGTGCAGCCTGCCTGAAGCACGCAGTTTGAATACAGGGGCATAAGCATGTAATTTCATGGTTGGCCTCACTCTTCTTTTGTTTACAGAAGCTGAAATTTTAAGTCTGAAAGAGAAGGCAGAAAAGGATCATAAAGCCATTCAGAGGGTACTGTATCTTTTTTTACATTGATGAATGACTCTTTTAAATTGAAATATCAGCACAATTGGTGAAATCACGCAGTGTGCTGCTTGTCTGGCAATACAGAGAAAAGTTGAGTTATACATCTAATCTCCTCCATTATACGGGTATGGTGGTTTGAAATGAATAGAGATTTTTTCTTTATAAATAAACTTATGTGTTTGTTGTTAGGTGCCATTGAGTTGAGTACAACTCATAGCAACTCGATGAACAAAAGATCTGAAACCTGGTCTATCCTGCACCCTCCTCACACTTCCTGACACAAGAGCCCATTACAGCAGTAATCACATCAATCTACCTGGTTGAGGGTCTTCCTCTCCTTTAATTCTTCCCGGCATCATGTCCTCTTCTTTTATTTGAAATAATTGAGGATCTACCTTCTTGACTGTAACAAAACTCAAAGTTAAAATGCATAAGAAGTTCAAAGATGTGTTTGAGATTGTGGAATGATTGTAGTATTTAAGAATGAACTATCCTGTTTTCAGATCAGATGTGGGGTTATGTATAATGTCTCTGTATGTGAATGAATTTGGCTTATGTTGCTCAAGAAAATATATGTTTTTAGCAGGACTTCTTTTGCTATCTACTAATTTAGGCTTTCTACTCATCCAATACAGCAAGACCATGACAGTTCCTGCTCTTTGTCATATAGCTCAGGAGCTCCTGTTTTGGTTTTCTGTATGTTTCCTACTACAGAACTCTTGTTCTGCTGGTTTAAATTTACTGACACCTATGAGGGGAAAAGATGGAAAATCTCCTCCTGTGCTTGAGTCTTATTGTTGGTCTTCCCTGCCCTATAGTATCTTATCATCAATATAGTCCTGGTGTTTACCATAGTACGTTGCATACTTAAAATTATTCTTGAGTAATTTTAGACTGAAAATATATGTAGAGTTCACAAAATTTACAGTTGACAGAAGTACATTCACAAACTCAAATTGCATAAACTATTTACCACTACTTTTAAAAAGCAGAATTAAAAAGAAATGTTTAAATTTAAGTTAATTAAAATGAAATAAAATTGAAAATTCAGTTTCTTGGTTGCACTAGCCATGTTTCAAGAGCTCAGTAATCATCTGTGCCTAGATGTAGGTTCGAATTTTAGCCAGGCTACTGTTGTAGTTCATGATCTTTTAATGTTTAAGATACAAATTTTTCAAAGGGCTTTACCCACAATAACAGTGAAAGCTCAATTATAGTTCTTTTAAAAATAACTTCAAAAGATAAGTTTAGCATCTATGGCAATCAAACTTTAAAATGAAAAATTAAATCTCAATTTTCTAGTTTCTAGTTCCTTACTGAGAATATACCAGGTTCTTATACTGAGATACAGCTATTCTCCAGATGTTTAACCTGTGCTGCCATTTATAGAAAGGAAAGGTCCACATTTACCACTGTCTGTGAGGAGGAGTATAGTAAGAAACCAAAACAAAAAGTTTCACCATTAAAGCACCAATTGAGAAGAAAGGTTTTCTATGAATGACTGGTTATACCCCATGTGAACATAAGTATTCCAATTAAACATTAGATTAGCTTAGATTCATTGTAGCACTGTTCACAATGGGGGTGGGGGAGGGAAGAAACCAACTAGTAAATGAATGGATATGTAAAATGTGCTACATACATGCAATGGAATATTACTCAAAGATAAGGGTAAATGAGTTCTCAAAATATATTGGAACATGACAAAGATTAAGTTTATCATGTTGAATGAGATAAATCAGTCACCCTCTTCCCTAAAAGGCCAGTCAATTAATTGCTGTTTCTCAGTTTTTATGAATGACATGAGAAACTAAATATGGATCTTAGCTAAAAGCAGGAAATACCAGAAGAATGTATATCTGTGTTTCATTGATTATGCAAAGGTGTTGGACTGTGTGGATCATAACAAACTGTGGCTGACTCTGAGAAGAATGGGAATCTCAGAACACTTGATCGTGCTAATGCAAAACCTATTCTTGGACCAAGAGGCAGTCAACAGAACAGAGCAGGGAAACACTACATGGTTCAAAATTGGGAAAGGTGTACGCCGGGGATGTGTCCTATCTCCATACCTTTTCAACCTGTATGCAGAACAGATTATCC